GAGCCCTCTGCTGTCAGAAAGCTCCTGCAGTTTAAGTAGTTATAATTCAATCTCTCTCAAGCTTGCTTCCCTTATTATTCCTGGCATGGAGCTGCCTTTTATAGCTTTGGCCTCACCCAGCCTTGGGCATGAGGTTTGTTTGAGTAGCAAAAGAAAGCTAAAATTATTCAAAAAAGAAGATTATAGAGAAAGATGCTATAGTGGCTGCCAAGACTTCTTCCACTGGGATAGCGGTCCCAGGGGCCCTGGGACTCCCTCCAGTCCCCCCAAGTCCTGCCCTTGCCAAGAGGTACCAGTCGCAAAGCATATGCCCCAAGGGGAAGGGACCCCGAGTGCTTCGCTTGAGGTGATGCTGAGGTCTCCCGGGCTGGAGAAAGCCACATCTGCTGCACCAAAGCACAGCTCACCTGCAGGCACTGCAACATCCCCAACCCAGCTCTGCAGCACAGTCAGATGCAGTACACAAAGGGATATTAGCCTGTCCATGGCTCTCCTGCTCGATGTTCACTCCTGTTGTCCATAAGCCTACAAGCGGCTGTGAGCTCCAGCGTGCAGGGTGCTGTGTTTGGGGGATGCTGGGGGTCTCGCCCTGGGCAGAGGGCAGTGTCCGGGGCTCTGTGCACAGCTGGGGCTAAAGGAGACCCCTCAGCACCTGTTCCCAAACTGTCCCTGGCCCAGGAGGCCACAGGGGGAGGCTGCAAAGCTGCATGCAGCATTCCCCAACACCAACCCCTGCCCTGTGTCTGCCAGCACCAGACAGTGCTCATGGCTCTTTTGAAGGGCGCAAACCCATCCAGGGGCGCAAGAGGCTCAGATGGGAACTGTGCTTCAGAGAGGTGCTGCAGAGTACCCCAACCTGCAAGCAGTCTCCATGCATAGGAAGTGGTTTGCAGCCTTGCAGAGAGCCCAAACCAAAATAAATGTTGAGGCTAATAAACATCCGAGTATCACTGTCGGACTCTGTGTGATGATGTCATACACACAAAGCCTAGTGGGTTCACTTACAAACTGGCTTTATTTTTCACCCTGGCAGAGCTCTGAATTTTCAGCCTGGTCTTCTTTGTTTTTCCTGGGGCACTCACCAAAGATCTGACTGATATGGCCCATCCTTCTGGACAAAGGACACAGACCAGGCAGAGACACGTTGTCATTTCCATGCATTCGTGGGGTTTGAGGGCCACTGAGGGGATGCTGAGGGGTGGGGGTGGGGGCGAGCCCCCACCACTCCAGCCAGGAGTACCCTGACAGGTGCAAACACTGCCCTAGGGCTCCAAAATCACTGAAACTCACTTTTCCCTGTTTCTTTCATTGGCTTTCATGACATGGATGGGGAGGGGGCTGGAGCAAGGAGAGTTCTGTTGTTGTGTGTTTTTTGTTTTTCTTTTTAATTATACTTTTATTTGGTTTGAAATACCCTACATTTAATCCTCTTTTGTTTGTTTTATTTCAAAACAAAGGCCAGGAAAAATGTGAGGCACACATAGGAAAGCAATATTTTTCTCCAAAGCATTTTCTCAGAAAATATCCTTGCTGGAAGAAGGTTCAACCTTTAATGAGCTACCATCTCTTATCAACACTAACAGCTTGCTGTACCCTGCTTCTCAATGGCCGTCACTGTCCAGGATTCCTTGTGTGACACGGTTTCAAGGAAACACGAAGCCGCTCTCTTGTGCAATGCAGCCACACTCGCCCATGCCGTGTGGCCTGGATGGCTGCACTGCCCCCACCCCAGTGCAGCTGAGGCACTGGTTCCCAGTCACTCCCACACGCACAGGTTCCCCCTGGAGCCAGTTCCAGGACATGACATCATCTTGAAAATTCCATTGTTTCTCCAGAAATGTCAAGAGTAGGGAGGAAAAGAATTTCTGGTTCCTTCAGGGAAGTCTTCAGCACCCAAGCTCTGAGCAGGGCAAGACAAAGACTGCTGCAGGTTGTGCTGGAGGCAGTTACTGAACTTAGGCCATTTTTAACACTTCCTTTTCCAAGTGAATCCTGCCAGCTCAGCATTTAAAACTGCTATAAATAGCAAGTTACATCATCCAGTCTCACCATTTTTTGCAGTGTTCCCCTTTCATAAGACAGATCGAGAATTTCTCTATTTCTGCCTCTGACCAAACTTATTTGGGGCATTTGCTTTATTTAGCATTTTCTTCTGGGATTTCCGTTGGCCTGCAGACAAGCTCTAACATAACCTTCCAGGCAAATCAGTGCAACATCAGACAGACTGCTTCAACCAGCCTTCCTTCTGACTCCAAACATTGCCTGCCCATGGCGGGGGGAGAAGGGCAGACCGTGTGCTGTGTCACAGGCCCTGAAACCAGCCGGAGCCAGAGTGGGAAAATGTTTATTTTCCTGCACAGCATCTTTTGCATGAACCTAATTTCCCTAAAGGAGCTCCAGCCTACTTTGGCCACTCTTCCATGGCCATCTGCCCATTCCAGAGCACCTCCCAGACAAACGTCCTTCAGCCCAGACACCCAGCCCCACAGCCACCCTCTTTTCCAAAAGGGAAAGGTGAGAAGAAATTCCTTTCTCATTTCATCATGATAGGGCTGCAGGGTAAGCACACCGTTTTAGACACATTACCACATCTCAGGGCATTGACTACAGCCTCCCACTTCCACCCAGCCTGGGAAGAGCTGGCAGAGTCAGGGCTTTTGTCAAATTTCTAGGGAAAAAACAGACTCATAGGAAGCAAACACTCCGATTTTGAGGTTATTTTATTGGCTTTCAGTAGTGGAAAAGTTCCAGCACTTGCCTGGCCCTTGTAACACACATTATCTATGTTAATCTGATCCTAAACTGACTCAACTAAACTGAAAAGGTGTTTTCTTTCTTTGATTGTTGTTGGGTGGTTTGTTTGTTTGTTTGTTTGTTTTAATTTAAAAATTGTCCCTGAAAATTCAAAACATTTTTGCATCTGCTTGCCAACAGAGGTACAAATGCATGGAGAATTTCAGCTACCTGAAACTGAAAAAATATCTCACTGAAAGCATTCAAATAACCAATGCATACTTACAAATAATTCTTCTATTCTAATGAAACCTGCTTTTATCAGAACATCTCTGCACCATAAATGGCATTTTGCCTGCCTGCCCTACCCACGTCATCTGTCTGGCGAGCAGGACAGGACCAGATGGCTGTAGGTGGCAAATCTCAAGACATGACCTATGAATGACCTGCTTGAAGGTTCAATCACAGGGAATAGCTCAGAGGCAAACCACGCTCTTACGTATCTACAAGTTACATTCCCTAAGCAACCAGACAGAAGAGCCAAGAAAGCTGAGGCTGGCTCAGAGCTGACTTCTGGTCCAGCTGGCTTCTGGCTTAATGTCAGCTTCCCTCCCCCTTCCTGGCCAGGCACACCAAGGCTCTCCCCTCATCCTCCCAGGACTTTGAGGGCTCAGCACATGAACAAGCAGGGGGGCTGTGCTGGTGGGGGAGCCTGCAAGGTGCATCAGCACCCTGGCCAGATGGCAAAAGGAAGGCTAGGGAGGGGACCAGCTTGGCATGGTGTTGCCAGGGAAGAGCTGATGCTCCATTTGGCAAGTGCTACATTTGCTCCATCTGCCTTCCATGCAGAACAAGTGCTGCAGCCATGCCAGGGCAAGGGGCAGGCATCCCACCACCGTGGCTCTCTGCAGGCTCTGGAGACCACCTGGAGGGTGGGTCACATCTGGGACCTCTCCTGCTAAGGCCTTGGACCACATTGTCTCCCAGAAACCCGTCTGCTTGGAGGTCAAGCCCCCTTCACAGGGCTGCACTGCCTCCCTTCCCACCAACTGCAGACAGTGGAAGGGCTGTGCACACCATGCGACATTGCAGTGAGGGTTGGAAAACACTGGGTTATCTACAGAACTCATCCAAGTCGACAGCCTAAAAGTTGCCTTTTACAGAAACATGGTGAGTCAGTGCCCAGCGCTGCGGCAGAGGTTGTTTCGTTGGCTTGCTCTACTTTTTGTCATATTCTTTCAACAGGAAGCATCTGTTGAAACATCACTGAGTAGATGAAAATAATGAAATGGAGACATTTCCCTGAAATGCAGCTACCTCGCTGTTGAGAAGAGGCCAAGTTCTCTTTTCCTGACTGACATCCCAGTTTATGCTTGTGCCTTCACCCCCATCTTGAGAGTTCCTGGTCTTTAGAACTGGTGACTTCTTCCTCACCCAGCTCCTGGAGCTCCTTCTGCTTCATCTGCAGGGTCACAGTCAACATCTCCATACTTTTCTGGATCTCTGCATCTCCAGGCCCATCAACAATAGGCCTCACCTCACCTATCAGTAGCCAAAGAAACGTAAGTGTCTAACCTAAATTGGTCATTTAAGGTCTTCTTGTAGGACCCGGAGTGAGGCAGGCCCCTCCAGGAGATAACACCCCATCTCAGCTCCCTTAAAACTGAGGAAAAAACTCAAGCACTTCAGCTTCTGGAACTCTTTTTTCCACCCTTATGCTCACCACTACCTGCGCTGGTGCCTGCAGTGCTGTCACAGCAGCAGGGCAGCTACTGAGTCCCCTCAGACAATAGGAAGAGGGAGCCCACAGGTGACAGCCCCTATCTTGTGCTGCTGCAGGAGGGAAACAGTTCAGGGTAGAAGAGATCTCTCTCCCGTTGTTCCTAAGATGGCCTCATCCCATCTATACTCTTCGTCCCATTTGTGCAGTGCAGAGGCAGGATGCATGCTTGCCTCCAAGTTGCTGTTACAGGTTGGGTAACACAGGCCTGTTGACAAATGCAGGAACCTCCACAGGGGAACTTCTTACTAAGGGACATGCATGAAAGAAACAGAAATAGATATTGTGATAGTTTCATATCCTGTGTCACTGGGGAGGCACTGAATCAAGGGGACAGCTTCACGTTTCCGGGGCTGGGGCTACCACTTCGTTCCATCACGAGACTGTGCTGCGAGCCGCTTCTCTGGGGGAAATTCCACCACACCTACGCAAGCAACTGTCCAGACCTGCTTGCCCTATAAATTGGAGGGTATCTGAATGTCTCAGCACCAAAGAGAAAAGAAGCTTTCAAGCTCACTTGCCTGCTTCAGCTCCAGCCACAACTTCTGCGTTGACATGAAGGTCTCTGTGATTGCCCTGGCTGTTCTCATCGCCGCCTTCTGCTACCAGACCTCTGCTGCACCAAGTAAGTCTGGACTCTATGAATCTCTCTAAATGGGGACAGGGTCCTTTCTGCCAGCCCTTCCACCCCGGGTCCCTCCTCATGTCAGATCTCCTTCTAGCGGGTGCTCCATGGGTGCTATTCAGCCGTGGGCAGGCACAGCGCAAAGCACAACACGTGTGTGGTGTCAGCAACAGCTCAGGGTGAACCCAAATGAGAAAGAATTTAAGGAAGAAGGAAAAAGACCTTGCTTTTCGTATTCCCCCTCCACGTCCTCCCAGACCCATGGGGACTCCAGTCCCAGCTCCCTGCCCCTGTTCACCTGTCACTTGCAACTGCTCACACCTGTCTTTGCCTTCACAGTTGGCTCTGACCCACCAACCTCCTGCTGTTTCACCTACGTCCAACGGGAGCTGCCCCGTAGCTTCGTGACCGACTACTATGAGACCAACAGCCTGTGCTCTAAGCCAGGTGTCGTGTAAGTGTTCTCCTCCAGGACTGGGGGTTCTCCCTTTGGGATGAGGATTCCTCTACATTTTGGACCTGCAATGAGAAAGACTCATTTTCAGGGGGGACAGGAAGGATGTGGAGCCAAGGGATGCATGGGGATGCTCCATGGGCTCAGTGCACTTGGGGCTTACACTGGTCCTGCTCCAGAGTTTTGCAGGCTGGTGTCTGCCAACATGGTCAGCACCATGTGGTGCTGCCCAAATCCTACTGACCCTCAGGAGAGGTGTGGAACAGGGATGGTGGGGTCTCCCCCACATGGAGCTCTCACATGGAACTCATCTCGCTGCTCCCCACAGGTTCATCACAAGGAAGGGACGTGAAGTCTGTGCCAACCCTGAACATGACTGGGTCAAGAAGTACGTGACTGAGCTGGAACTGAACTGAAGCTTTGGAACAGGATGCACTGTGCCAGGACAAGCAAGCCATGGACTCCATCAGAAATGTTCCGTGTCATTTAGAACTAGCTGAGAAACTGAAAATGTCCCAGAACCTGACTTCAGTGTACTTTATTTTTTTTTTTTTATTTATGTATTTAATTTTTATAATGAAAGGGAGCAGGTGAAATAACAAGAAAATTATTTAATATATTTATATATATTTTTAATTAAGAATCTTGCTTATAGGTCTTTATATAGATTATATTTTCTGTATTTAATTAATTGGATTTTTTTATGCAATATTTAATTCAAATGTTAAGAAATAAATATTTTTGTACAAACTTTCTGTTTTTGTGTCTATTACGGTTTTTGCGATGACAATAGCTGAAATAATAATTATGGTAACAAATTTATTTCCTCTTCTAAACTGGCAACACCCATCCCCCCCCCCCCCTCCTGAGGGCACAGGATGTCCCTCTCTGAACCTGAACCTGACTTCAGTGTGCGTTTCTTTTTTTATTTATGCATTTAATTTTTATAAGGAAAGGGAGCAGGTGAAATAACAAGAAAATTACTTAATATATATATATTTTAATGAGAACCTCCTGTGGGGCTGGAAGACCTGGGAGGACCTGTGTGTGTTTTCAGGAGGACGGCATATATTGGTGCCATCAGGAGCCTTGTCACTTCAGGAACTCAGCTCCCAGCTCTTCAGCCCACAGGACATCCTGCACCCCATCATTCATCCTGCGACAGTGCTGACTGTACTCTGCTTAAAATAGCAGCCGGGGGGGGAAAGACCAAAAGCTGTGCCCATAAGTGGGACCAGAGCCCCATTCCCCATGTGCTTCTGGGAGGGAGCTGCATGGCCATGGGGTTGGGACAGGCATCGCCACATAGGCAGATGTGTAAAACACAACATGGAGCTGCTACCTGTGAGCCGGGGGGTGGCCTTGGGCACAGCCTTGACTCCACAGGCACTGCACGCCCCCAGGCCAGCCCCATTTATTGTGACTGTGATAGACAGAATGGCTGAGGTCAGCAGCAGTCTCTGGGTCTGTGTGATTTGCTCCATTGGGCCACCCAGAACAGGGTGCCCAAGACCATCTCCAGGTGTCTTTGGACCATCTCCAAGGAGGAGACTCCAGCACCTGACTCCAGTACCAGACTCTCTGGGCATCCTGTGCCAGTGTTTCGTCACCCTTAAGGACATGAGGACACTTTGGCCACTGAGTAGCAGCCAGCCCCATACCTGCATGCCGGAGCCTGGTAGCTTCACCCGAGAACTGAGGTTGGCACAAAGCTGGGCACCCACAGCTGCCCTCACTCCAGGGACCAGCAGGAACAGGGGACAGGAGTTCCTGTCTAGGGGCATGGAGACCCACAACGGGGGCATCACACAATTGGCTTAATCCTCAACAGTCCCCTGTGGACACAGCTCCACCTGGTCCTGTGGCAGTGGGAGCAGTCCCACAGCTGTGGGGTGTCTTGTCAAAGGACACACTGCACAAGCTCAGCCACGAGCACCACCAAGCCCACACACGGTTTGAGCCCGTTGCAAACCACACCGAGCACCGATGTCCTTATCAGCCTGGGTCGTGTTGGAGCCACCCACAGCTGACACCTACCCCGGGTACCTCAGCTAAACCCTCACCACCATTCTGGGAGCCCGCAGGGAGTCCTGGATTGCTCACGTCTTCCTTGATCTCACAGCCACTCACGCGTGACAGCTCAGAGGAGCCCTCACTGAGCGTGCGAGGAACGCTGTGCTCCCGTTAATCCACACCCACGGGCACAGAGGTGTGAGCCAAGCCCACGCCAGCAAGGCAAAGGCAGTTGTCAGCATGCAGCAAGTTGGAGGCAGCCCCCAGGGCCCGCAAGCAGCACCGGGCACATGGAGGAAGTATTCCAGGCCCTCTTCAGGGCCACCACGTCTGGCAGAAGAGGAGGCGGCATACCAGAGGGCACTGAGCTGGTTTGGAGACAGGGGAGGATGTGGCCCCATGGGAGGGGACTCATGGGGGTCACGGGTCTGTCTGGACTCAAACAGACTGAGACAAGAACAATAGCCTCAGCTGTTTCAGAGTTTGTGAACTGCCAAAGGAGAGACTCATCCTGAAAGCAGTGGGGCATTTACTGCATGTTTTGTGTAACATGTAGTTCAGGTCTTTAGAGTCAATGCTTTTTGTGTTCTGTTGTGGAGCAGGCTTTTAATACATTTTGGAATGCAACAGAGTATCACGTCTTCCAGTAGTATTGAACCATATTATTTAAAGGAAAGTCTAATTTTTTAAAAAATAAATATTTTTTATGAAAGTCATGTTAAAGCCTAACTGTGAAGCAAATGAAAGGTATCATAAAAGTAACAACATTACTATAATATCTCTACAAGTTTGTTGTTTACATCACCCCACTGTGGACACAGGCATTCTGAGGGAGCTGTACATCAGATCCCAGCACTGCACCGCAGGAGGAGCTGTGCTGTGCTAATTGAGGTACCATTGACTGCACCGGTGGTTCATGGCCTGATGCTTTTCCATCTCTGCTATTTAGGTTCGCGAGCACTGGCTCCATGCTGTCCCCACCACCCCAGGGAAGGGGGCCCTGGTTCACCACGGGTGGGGAGACTCCGTCCTCCACCCAAAGCTGCAAGTCTCCCCCGTGGCAGCACCGGGACAGGGGCGGAGGAAGGGAGGCAGTGGCCCAAGCCAGTGAGGACAAGAGCAAGCACAGGAGTAGGCATGGGTGCAGGGTTGGAAGGCAAAGGCACAACCCAAACTCAGAATCACCCGAGCTGCTGTGGCCACTTATATTGCCATACCTGGACTTTTGCTAGAGGATGTTGCTCCTGAACTCAAGTGTTGGCAGGAGGATCTTCACAGATAGCGAGAGGAGGACAAAAGGGAAAATCAAAGCCCTCGGAGTTAGAAAACCCACCTTGGAACATCCTGGCTGATCCCAATAAGCTGAGATACTGGAAAGAAAAGACTAAAATTTCTGCAGGTATTATCTGGGCCTATTAACTGTAAATTTTAAGCCAGATGACTCACAACTTTTAAACATTAGGGAAGTAATGGTGGATGGTTTTGCATGCTGCAGTAACGATATATCCCTGACTGCCCGGGCTGAATACACAGAAGTATTTAGTAAGATGATGAAATGTAATACTAGAAATGGTGTCTGACTATCACACTGTCAGCCATGGCCAACAGAAAGCAGAAATGGAAATTTGGACCTGAAAGAACATTTCTGCTCTGTTCTTAGAAAGAAGCAGACAAGCACTCACATTCACTTATGATGATGAAACAATTTCCAGTATACTAGAAGAGAAAGAAGGATGTTAAAGTTTGTTGAGAAAACACATTGCTAGAATTGCAGGGCTGTAAATTTTACTGCTGAGATTCCCAGCTGGGACAATCAGCCCCTCTGGGTGACCAAACAGGAGTCAAACCCTCAAAAAGTGACAAATCCACAGACGACTCAGAAAGAATAGCTCGCTGATCACCCATCTCCAAGCTGTGTCATTCACCAGAAGCGGCATCCTGAGGATGCCTTCAGAAAAAAAACAGACACCTTGAACAGGAGATCAGCCCTGGGACCTGCCTCAGCAAGAGGCAGTCTCAACACAAAATGTACCCGCAGAACTTACATACATACATACGTATACACCCATCTTCCTTTGGGATATGGAAATCAAGGGGAAACTGTGTGACTGTGATCACCCCGGTGCATACAGGCCAACCTCTTTGGGACTAAATAATCTACGTCTGGGTGTGAAGGTCACCAGCTTGCTCGGTGCTGGTCTGCGGGGGATCAGGAGCACAACCGCCATGGGAAAACCCAGATGCTCGGGCCAGACCACACTGTGCCGTGTAACTACTCCACATGGCCAGGGCAAGTGGTCTAAGCAGGACCTGGTCCTTGATGGGCAGGAGCCCTATGGAGGCCAGAGCCAGGCAATACAGAAGGAAACACAGGGAAGTGGTCTCAAGTTGCACCGGGGGTTGTCTTCGGGGGGGGGGGGGGGGTTATATTGGACATTAGGAAGAATTTGTTCATGGAAAGTATAGTTAAGCATTGGAACAGGCTGCCCAGGAAAGTGATGCAGTCCTCATCCATGGAGGTTTCTAAAACATGTGTAGAAGTGGCACTAAGGGACATGGCTTAGTGATGGGACTGAGTTGGTCAGGTTGGTGGCTGGACCTGATCTTGAAGTCTTTTTGCAACCCAGATGATTCTATGGTTCTTTAAGCACACAAGCACTTCCATGGAGGAAGTGGGCAAGCTCAACTTGCCATGACTTAGAGCAAGAGCTTGTAAGCAGTTTTAGGAACAGCTCTAGCCTTAAACCACACTTGCCATCCAGTCTGGACACCTCAGGGCAGACTGGTGTCAGCACAGAGCAGTTTCTTAGCTGCAGATGATGCACAGATTCCATCAAGTGGAAAGTTGTATAGCACATTCAGAGTTATCTCATACCGTGGACCTTTATTCTCCTTCTTTGGAGAAGCAGATGCATGACTTCTAGGGACGCACTGGGTGTTGCGGTGGGGTGACCTCACATCCTTTCTGCTCAGACGTTCACTTTTTCACTGTCATCCCTGCCCATCTGTAAGACTTCTAGATTGTTGCATTTCCTCCTGCCTCTTCTGAAAAAGCTCTTTGTCGCTCCTGATCTGTGGCAGTGCTCTTCATCTGGCACCTTGTTGCAGTGATATCACTCTTGCTTTCTGGACAGCTTCCATCCCACCGTCTCCTCCCGCCCTGGTGACATTTAGCCTGGCCCCTTCCCAAATGCTGCCCTGCGCAGCAGGTTTCCCTGGCAGCCCCCAGCTGCCTCTGCTTCCAGCCCTCTGCCAAGCCCTCAAAGTTCATGCTCTTTCTATAGATTCCCAGGCCACATAAACTCTCTTTGTGAAACCTCCATGGAGGTCAAAAAAAGGTGTGAGGCACACCAAGGCCCACTGCCCTTCCTGGGCACGTGGCAGAGCTGGGACCACGCTCTCCCAGCAAGGCTCTCTTCTCTTCTGTGCAGCCTACAGAAGAGAGAGCAAGCAGACGAGGGGAGGTGGGTGAGGTTCACCAAAAAGTGACAAAAACAAACCAAGAGGAACTGCTGTGTTGGGTCCAACACTATTTTTTACTAGGAGCTTCCTAATCAACATCGAGGACATCCCCAGAGAAACTGTACCAGGTATTTTAGATCTTTCCTTATCAAATCATGTTTTATTCTAATTGAATTGGTCACTAAATCAAGAACTGTCCAACACACAGTGCAACCCCCACGCACGCATCCCCTTGCCTTCACCCCTGGTCCCAGTGACACAGAGCTGAAGTGTG